ACAGGGTTTCCAAGATTGTAAATCTTTTTGGAAGTAAACTCCCACATCTCTCCCACAGAGCAGATGGGTCCTCAAACTGCCAACCTTTTGGTTAGCAGCCTAATGCTTTAACCACAGCACCACCTGGTGTAATTAGACATGGGGATTTACTGGTGGAACAGATTAATCATAACTGGTACCATCTTTGTTCTGATTAAGGATAATTACGAACTTCCAGCACTAACATGCAACCTAATGTTTGGATTGAGAAAATTTAAGCAGCCATAACACATCTTCAATATACAAAAGAGCAAAGAAATTCTATAAGCATGAATTACTTTTATAATCAGGGGGAAAAAGTGCTGAGGAAGAAAACAGAAGGTAGAAAATGGAAATGTGATTCCTTATTTCTCATTAAAACTTGCAAGAATATAGCTAGTTCATTGAAGGACACTATGCTGAGTGAAATAAGTCAATCACAGAAGGACAAATACTGTATTAGTCCATTACTGAAAAAGTCAAGAAAAGACTTATCTATGGAAGGAAATTTTCTTTGTTGGTTACCAGGGGTGGAAGGGGAGGGGAAGAAACACTGTTAGATAGGTACAGATAAGTATTGATTTGGGTGAAGAGAAAGGCAATGTACCAAATGTGAGTGATCAACACAGTGGTATTGAGGAAGAGAAAGACATAGAGAGGTAGATGGGAGGTGCAGACAACAAAGATGAACCCTTTTGCACATACAGTACTGTGTTGTCAGTGAAGGCAAACACTGGTATATGCATGGATAGATGGGTGGACAGGCTGAACTAGTAGGTGTATCTATGCAGCAGGGAGTGTACCCAAGAACATGTATAGGGCTGGCAGACAGTGGTTCTACAAGTGTATTTGTATGTTCTGTAAGAATTGCCAGGGGTATAGGAGAGCTGACAAGGGACAAGATCATAGTCACTTCTTAGTCACAGCCAGCTACCCAGAGGGACCAAGCAGTTCAACCTGTGGGCTCGGGACCATAGTCACAGGGGACATCAAGCTCAACTGGCATTGTTCCACCTCCTACTTTGGCGAGTAGTGACTGGGATCTTAAGAAAAGCTTGCAAGTAGCCATCTAGATGCAATGATGGGTCTCTTCTCGTCCAGAGCAAAGAAAAATGAAGAAAACCAAAGATTCATGGAAAAATTAGTCCTCGTGACTGGTACACCATGTGATCCTCAGCCTATACAACTATGAGACCGGAAGAACTAGATGGTGCCCGGCTACCACTGTCAACCACTCAGAGGGGGATCTATGTAGGAGATCCTCGATAGAGAGGGAAAACAATGTGGAACAAAACTCAGAATCATTTGGGGGAAAAGAAAAGAGGTGTACCAGGTTTGCTGGTCTGATAGAGCCTGGTGGAACCACTGAGACTATGGTCCCTAGCTGCCCCTCAGGTCTGGAATTGAACCCACCACACCTGTGGCTTCCCGCCAAACAAAAGATAGGCGTATGACTTGAACATTTACCTGAGGTAGATACACTCCTTGGAGAGAACAATCATGGGAGAAAGAAGGACTATTTATGCACAGGGAGACAGTTCAGGGGGCAGGAGTGTGTGGAGGGATGGACACAGGGAAGTGGTAACTATCAGGAGGAAGTGGGAGGGAAGCTGTTGCATTGGGGTAAATTGTAGTCAACGTCATGAGACAACGTGTGTGTGAACTGCTGTATGGAAAGTGAATTTGCTCTGTAAACTTTCACCCAAATCACAATAAAAAATATAGATAAATAGATAGATAAGAATATAGCTAGTTCATATTTCTTGCCCTGCTACTATAAAATATTGATAACCTTGAATTTCCATAATTCACCATGTGTCAAGAATTCTATGCTATATAAACTTTCCTTTCTAGTAAGCATCACAAATTGAAGCTGTACTCACAAATTGAAGCAGTACTGATTACTTGTTTGGGGGGTCAGGAGATCTGGGGTTCCTTTGTGGGCACCACAATTAATCAGGCAGATGAGGTTAGTGACTTCCTTTTGTTGTTGATAGATGCCCTTGAGTCGTTTTCAACTCATAGTCACCCCATGTGAAAAAGACCTTCCCCATAGGGTTTTCCAGGCTGTACTCTTTATGGAAGATCACCAAGTCTTTCCCCTGCAGAGCCACTGGGAAGGTTCAAACTGTCAAACTTTCAGTTAGCAGCCAAGTGCTTAAACGTTTGCACCACCAGGGCTACTTAACCACAATAACTAAGTGTAGCTTTTAGGGGCCAAAATACTCCAATACAATAAAAAGAAGGCACTTCTTATTGCTAAACCTTCCTCACTAACAGAGGAGGAAGAAAGGAACACAGTTCCATTTCTCATAGAGACCCCTCCTTGGGTTTCTGAGGTAGTATCACTATGGAAGTAGATTGCCCAGTCTGTCTTCCGAGGAGTGACTGGTGAGTTTGAACCGCCAGCCTTCTGGTTAGCAGTCAGAAGCCTTAGGCACTAGGCTACCAGAGTTCCCACCTTAGTAAGGTGCTAAGCTCCACTCCTTACTTGCTGCTATCTACTCTCTTTTAGAGGTATCATCCCATGTATCAGGAGCTCTGTAATCTTTATGGAAGCAGTCTGCCACACTTTTTATCCACAGAGTGGCTGGTGGATTCAAACTGCCAACCCTTCAGTTAGCAGTCAAGCTCTTGACTGCTGTACCACCATGTACATGCTTACACATCTTAGTATTAAGAAGGCTAAAATTTAAAAAAAGACTGACCATACTAAGTGTTGGAACTGATGTGGAATAAATGGAACTGACAAACACTGATGGTGGGAATATATATACCACTTCGGAAAAGAGTCTGGCAGTTTCTTAAAATGTTAAACATACATCTACCACATGAACCATCCAATCCTACAGAATTAGCCAAGAGAAATTAAAGCATGTGTCCACACAAAGACTTAGACATGAATGTTCATAGCAGCTTTATTTGTAGTAGTCAAAAACTGGAAACCTAAATGTCCAGGTGAATTGATAAATTGTGGCGTATCCATACAATGGAATACTACTTAGCAATTAAAAGGAATGACAACAAATACATGCAATAACATGAATGAATCTCAATATAATTACTCAGAGTGAAAGAAACCAGACCCTTCTTCAATAAGAGCGTATACAGGCAGTCTCAGGATTATGAATGAATTTTGTTCCTAAGCCTGTCTTTAAGTTAAAATTGTACCAAAAAAACAAACTCACTGCCATTGAGTCAGTTCCGACCCACCCCCCTTGGGTTTCTGAGGTAGTATCTCTACGGAAGCAGATTGCCCAATCTTCCTTCTGAGGAGTGGCTGATGGGTTTGAATCGCCAGGCTTCTGGTTAGCAATTAAATGCCTTAGGCACTATGCCACCAGAGCACCTCAAAGTTGTACATAAGTGAGAATAGTTAGGTGCAGTCAGTCTAATGTCAATTAGTCAAAATGTTATAGTCTATAGCATACCTTTCTATGCATAAAAAACACTAAAGAAACACTTCGGATATACTAATACACCTTTAAAATGTTGTTGTTATGCGCCGTGGAGTCGAACCCGACTCATAGCGATCCCTCCTTGGGTTTCCCAGGCAGTATCACTACAGAAGTAGATTGCCCAGCCTTCCTTCCAAGCAGTGGCTGGTGGGTTTGAACTGCCAGCCTTCTGGTTAGCAGTCAAGTGCCTTAGGCACTATGCTATAGTACATTAATAATTTTTTTATGCACATAGAAACGTAGTGCCCATTTGTTATTATGAACCATTGTATGTACCTCAAATTTTAATATAATAGGCTTTACAGACTTGGTTCATAAATACAGGCAGTACATAAGTCAAATAAGCTGGATATTTGTAATATGGGGACTACTTGTACAGAGGCTGGCAGTTCAAACCCACCAGCCACTCCTCAGAAGGAAGGTTGGGCAATCTACTTCCATAGCGATACCTCCTCGGAAACCCAAGCAGGGGTCGTTATTAGTCGGGTCCGACTCAACGTCTAAACAACAACTTGTACACTACATATTGCACTTATTTTTTAAAATTCTAGAAAATGCAAACTAATCTATAATGCCTGAGGAAGACCTTACAAATGGCAGGACAAAACATTTGAGCAGTGATGGTTTATGGTGGTGGTATGGAACATAAACCCAAAAAAACCAAACCCATTGCCTTCAAGCCAGATCCCATGTGCTATGGAACAGAACTGCTGCAAAGGGTCTTCTTGGCTATACTGTTCACAGAAGCTGACCGCCAGACCTTTCTTCCCTGGCGTTGCTGAGTGGGTTCAGACAGACAACCCATAGGTTAGTAATTGAGTTCAAACAGCTTTCTCCCCGCCAGGAAACACACATTTATATACACATACCTATTCAAAATTTATCAAACTGTACATTTTAAATTTAAAGCTTATTGTACATCATATTCAGTGGGAGCTCTGGTGGCCTAGTGCCTAAGGCATCTGACTGCTAACCAGAAGGCTGGCAGTTAAAACCCTCCAGCCACTCCTCGGAAGGAAGACTGGGCAATCATATTCAGTAAAGGTGAAAAATCCACAATAATAATCATCTGATAAAGCAAGAAGAAACTCCAGATTCCTAGTCTCGTTCTCGACCCATATTCCCGTCGAGAACCGGTCCTCCACCTCCTCGATCCTCCTGCAAGTCAAGACCTACACTTGTCCTTTCCCCGTCCAAGAATTTTGAAGATTCCCAAACTTCTGACTGAGCTTCAAAGTACTGTCCTCCACATTTCTGGGTCCCCGGTTCCTGTCACACAAACCTTCTGTATACCTTCGCATTCGCGAAGACTGTATTCAGTCTCACAGACTAGTGGCTAGTGTCCCCACAGACAGACCCACCCTCTCCCGTCCATGTTCCCACTTAGCCACGAAGCTTCATCCGGCGGAACACGTTCTCGATCCTGAAATATCACTAATGGGCTCGCAACCACCAAAAGCTGCACGGTCAAACTGCCCACTGACGAGCCAGCCAGGTGACTCAAGCACTACCTTCCCGGATTACCTGCCACTGGCTGGCCGCGCCGCGGACAGTTCAGCCACCGCGGCGGAATCTTGTTATGAGCCATTTCTTGGGGCCGCGGAGAACCGCCCCCCTACACCAACGTTTGCCGTGCCTCCGCCGCCGCCTTGCGGTCCGCTCTGCCACCGAGGTCCAAGGGCCGGGTCCAAATCCTAGCGACTCCTACCCCGGTAACGTCAGGACTAGCGCGCCACTTTCATTCAGACTCAACTCCACGGCTCTAGACGAGCCCACAATGCACCGCAACTTCCGCCACTAAGGCCCCGCCTCCTTCTTTCCGAGGTCAGAGGGGAAAATAAGGGAAGCTCTGGTAGCATAGTGGCTAAGACACTTGCCTGCTAACCAGACGGCTGGCGGTTCAAACCCACCAGCCACTCCTCGGAAGGAAGGTTGGGCAATCCTACTTCCGTAGTGATACTGCCTCGGAAACCCAAGGAGGGGTCGCTATGAGTCGGGGCCGACTCCACGGCACATAACAACAACAACAACAACGGCTGAAGAATAGGAAAGAGTTAAGGCCATGGCGAAACGATAGGGTGAATCTTCCCTCGCCCCGCCCCACGGAGATTCTGACGCGCTCTTAGGACGCTATTGCGCCTAAGCGTACACCTTTGAGACAGCATGTATTTTCTCTTTTTTTCTCATCCGCATTAGGCAGAGAACCCATCGAGGGTGGAAGGAAACCAAACCTTTGATACGTAGACTGTCCTCCTGCTTGAATAAAGGCTTATGTTTTAGTGATGAAGGGCCCTCCCACCCCTACTACTCATGACTGTAAGCAACTTGGCATCAAGTCGGTTCTGACTCGTAGCGACCCCCATTGGGTTTCCGAGGCGGTGAAACTTTAGGGAAGTAGATTGCTCCATTTTCCTTCCGCGGAGTGGCTGGTAGGTTTGAACCGCCAATCTTCTAGCTATCAGTCAAATACCTTAGGCACTGCGCCACCAGAACTCCTTACTCAAGATTCTGGGCTTCCCTTCTTTGGGCCAACATTGGCGCCGTACTGGATCTGGACTTGATACGAGTTTTGGGACGTTCTCCCTGACAACAGGGGAACAGATTTTAGAGAAATTCTAAGGGTTAGGGATTGAAGTAACCAAAAATGAGTAATTTCTCTTGGAGAATACTTCTGTGGATTCATGCATGAGCATCTGAAATTATATTCAGAAGCTTTTTAAGCGTTTTGTTTGTACTTTTCTGGATCGAAGTTTCAAAGCATACTTGGGCGTCTCAGAAGGCTCCAGCTCAAAAAAAGTTATTAACTCTCTAATTGGTAAAGGCAGCAACTGCGGATGAGATATTACTACGTGGGGGTGTTTTCCATTGCCTACTGTCATGAATTGAGTCGTGTCCCCAAAAAATTTGTGTTAACTTGGCTCAGCCATGATTCTCACTGGTTTAGAAGTTATGTAATGATGTAATGTGGCAGATGTGTAATGATATCCCATGGTGTGATCTCATGTGATAAGCGGACCAGGTGTAAAAGAATTAAGATTACCATGTCACTTTAGTTTTGTGTATTTCACTGTACATAAACTATATTTCAATATAATGTATTTTTAAAAAATTAAGATTAAAGGTGATTCACCCAAATCACAATAAAAATTTTTAAAACAAGATTAAAAGTGGGTTGCATCACCTTTAGTCCCATCACAGCTCTGATGGGATGTAAGAGGAGCGTCTTTGCGGTGTGGCCTGCAGCACTTTTAATCTTACAAGAGATGAAAGAAGAGAAAGGGGACTTACTACCACCTAGAAAGAGGAGCCAGAAGTGGAGTGTGTCCTTTGGACCCCGGGTCCCTGTGCTGGGCTCCTCCCAGGAACAAGAGACACACAGAGAGAAAATCTTCCCCTAGAGTTGGCAATCTGAACACAGACTTCTGGCTTCCAAAACTGGAAGAGAATAAATTTATTAAAGCCATCCACTTGTGGTATTTCGTTACAGCAGCACTAGAGAACGAAGCCATCTACAGAATAAATGGTCTTTCCCTTCAAGTTAAACAGGAGTGCTTAGAAACATTTCATAAATGTAATCCCATAATAAGACTTTCTACAGTTAGCAGATTGAATCAGTTACAGTATTAAATATAAAGCCGGATGAGCAAATTAATTACAAGGTAGCAGTTTGAATTTAAGCACCAATGCTATATCAGAACGCAAGAGTGTGAAGCTTTGGGGAATATATTTTGAAAGCATTGATGAGTTTACTGGGTAGCTCAGTCCTTGAAAGCCTCTTGGTACAAGTCAGGATTCTCCCATAAATCGTGCCCATGCTGTCTCTCTGAAGCAACCAGAATAATGGGATAGACTCCTGGCCTGGCCTGATGTCTCATAGGCTGAGACCTTTCAGTGAAAGTGCTACTGTGTCCCTGGCAGAACAAGCTAACACCCAGTTTTCTTATAGTCAGCCCAAATGATACTCAATTCCCATCTCTGCTGGTAGGGTAGGGTGGGTATCATGCCGCCCCCCCCCCAAAAAAAAAAAAAAAAGCCATTGCCGTCAAGTTGGATCTGACTCATAGGTTTCATGGGTTTCTGAGGTGGTATCTCTATGAAAGTAAATTGCCCTATCTTCCTTCTGATGAGTGGCTGGTGGGTTTGAACCACCAGCCTCCTGGTTAGCAATCAAATGCCTTAGGCACTACACCACCAGAGCTCCCATATCAAGCCCACAGTGGTGAAATATTTGGTCCCCCAACTGTCCTCCATGAATGGGAAAGGTGAGTTATCTTTCTGGGAATAACTCCCCTTGGAGACTGTCTTCCACACAGAGACTATGTGCACCCAGGGAGCTCAATCCTAGACATGCAGAGCTTCCCAGAGGCTTCATATCGTTGAGCAGTGAGCACATGTACTTGGCTGTTAGGCAGCAGTATGTGCTTACATTTTATCTGCTTTCCATTATGAGTGTCCGGTGGTTCTCTTTTGAGTAGAATCCAAGTGAGTGAACAGTTTCTCTATACCAGGAATCCCTCACCAGATGGATATTTCTGCTTATATCACTTTTAGTCCCAGATCTCTGCTATTTGGTAAGAAAGAAAACAGTTACACAAAGGGACCAACATGGCTAGGGGCAGCAAAGAATGAAATCTCATGAGCAAACTCAAATTTACCCTCTTGTCCTTCTGCCAACCACTCTAAACCTACTTGAGTTTTAAGTCTTCTGTAGCACTCTTTCCATCTGGCCTCTTCAGAGGCTCCAGATAGTAGTCCTTCAGTGGTCAGTGACTTCTAAAGACCCACACCTGTGTCAGTACATCAATTCACACACACAGCAAGGTCTCGAAATTACTCCGATTCTAGAGGTGCTGATATGCACCCAACCCTACAGACAGGCTCCTATATACACAGGTCTGATTTATCAACCACTTACCTGTGCAAGAATGTTGCATCTCCAAAATGTGTATGTACTGCTGTATGGAAAACAAATTTGCTCCATAAACTTTCACCCAAATCATAGTAAAAGTTAAAAGAAAGAAAGAATGTTGATCTTTTGACTGCTAACTGAAAAGTTCAAAATTCAAGTCTCCCATAGGCACCTTGGAAGAAAGGCCTGGAGATCTTCTTTCAACAAATCAGCCATTGAAACTGTGCAGCTTATGGTGCACAGCTCTACTCTGACACTCACAAATCACCATGAAGTAGTTGACTTGATGCCAACTGTTTCTGGTTTGGTTTTATTTTCTATGAATCAATTTAATCTTCATTCTAAGTTTTCTTCCTGCTAACTAGGTAGGAAATTCCAACAATGGCATTCTCAGGGTTTACTTCTACTCCTAGAACTATATCTTGGTTTTAGGGGCTTGGAAAATACAATCTAAGCATGAGGCAAAGGGAAAATTTGGACTAGCATTGACCATCTGTTCACACAGTTTACACTAATCCATGACACGGCCCCATCAGGTCCATTGCTCTACTGCTTCTCAGCCACACTGTGGGGAAAGGAAATCTTTTGTGAGGCTGGGAACCTTGTTTCTCGTACCTTCTCTTTCTGTGTACACCTACAGCCATTCCTTTCCAATGCACTGCAAGGGAGCAGGGCCCGGATCTGGAGTCTTGAGTAATATACAATACCTTCCTTCACTAAGTAGGTAATCCCAGGGGAAGGATTAAGTAAAAAATATGGAGCGCGATAATTTTTTTTTAAATTTTTATTGTGATTTGGGTGAAAATTTACAAAGCAAATTCATTTTCCATATAGCAGTTAATATACATTTTGTCTCAGGACACTGACTGCAGTTCCCCATAGTGTAACAGCTCTCTTCCCACTTTCTCCTGATAGTTACCTCTTCCCTGTGTCCTTCCCTCGCAAGCACTCCTGCCCCAATCCCAGCTGTCTCCCTATGCATGCACTGTCCAAAACAGTGTATCTACCTGATGTAAATGGTCAGCCCAGATGCCTGTTTATTATTTGGCTGGAAGCCACAAGAGTTCGTTCAATTCCAGACCTGAAGGGTAGCTAGGGACCATACATAGTCTCAGGGGTCTCACCAGGCTCTATCAGATCAGCAAACCTGGTCTTTTTTAATGATTTTGGGTCTTGTTCCACATTGTTCTCCCACTCTATCCAGGATCTTCTACATAGATTCCCCTTCAAGTGTTTGACAGTGGTAGCCAGGCACCATCTAGTTCTTCTGGTCTCATAGTCATATAGGCTGAGGATTGCATGGTCTACTAGTCCCTTGGATTAATTGTTTCCATGTGTCTTTGGTTTTCTTCATCCTTCTTTTATAGCTGGATAATTTTTTGAGGGGGAAAAATATTTTTAGGGCTTGATAACAGAATGAACACATCAAATGAGGGAAGTATCAAAAGTGACTCCAATCTTTCTGTTCCAAATATGAAGTTCTCCAACTTTCCAACCAGCTCCAAGAATCCCGAGACTGTTATTTTAAGTATAACAAACAGCATCCAAAAAAGTATATATTGGATTAATTCCTCTGAACAGTGAGGAGTTGGAGGTATTTTCATTAAAAGACTAGAATCCCCCATAATTTCTCCACAAATGAAACCTGAACCATGTGCACATACTACTCATTCTATTAC